CTGGATAAGGGGGTGAAAGTGTCCCCGGACTGGAAGGGGGTGTTTAAAAGTGTCCGGACTGGAAGGGGGGGGAAAGTGTCCGGACTGGAAGGGGGGTGAAAGTGTCCGGACTGGAAGGGGGGAAAGTGTCCGGACTGGAAGGGGGGGGAAAGTGTCCGGACTGGAAGGGGGGGAGTGTCCGGACTGGAAGGGGGGGAAAGTGTCCGGACTGGAAGGGGGTGAAAGTGTCCGGACTGGAAGGGGGGGAAAGTGTTCCGGACTGGAAGGGGGGAAAGTGTCCGGACTGGAAGGGGGGGGGGGAAAAGTGTCCGGACTGGAAGGGGGGGAAAGTGTCCGGACTGGAAGGGGGGGAAAGTGTCCGGACTGGAAGGGGGGTGAAAGTGTCCGGACTGGAAGGTGGGGAAAGTGTCCGGACTGGAAGGGGGTGAAAGTGTCCGGACTGGAAGGGGGGGAAAGTGTCCGGACTGGAAGGGGGGGAAAGTGTCCGGACTGGAAGGGGGGGGAAAGTGTCCGGACTGGAAAGGGGGGGGAAAGTGTCCGGACTGGAAGGGGGGGGGGGAAAGTGTCCGGACTGGAAGGGGGGGAAAGTGTCCGGACTGGAAGGAGGGGAAAGTGTCCGGACTGGAAGGGGGTGAAAGTGTCCGGACTGGAAGGGGGGTGAAAGTGTCCGGACTGGAAGGGGGGGGAAAGTGTCCGGACTGGAAGGGGGTGAAAGTGTCCGGACTGGAAGGGGGGGAAAGTGTCCGGACTGGAAGGGGGGGGGAAAGTGTCCGGACTGGAAGGGGGGGAAAGTGTCCGGACTGGAAGGGGGGGAGGGAGGAAAGTGTCCGGACTGGAAGGGGGGGAAAGTGTCCGGACTGGAAGGGGGTGAAAGTGTCCTGACTGGAAGGAGGGGAAAGTGTCCGGACTGGAAGGGGGGGGGAAAGTGTCCGGACTGGAAAGAGGGGGGGGAAAGTGTCCGCACTGGAAGGGGGTGAAAGTGTCCGGACTGGAAGGGGGTTAAAGTGTCCGGACTGGAAGGGGGGGGGAAGTGTCCGGACTGGAAGGGGGGGAAAGTGTCCGGACTGGAAGGGGGTGAAAGTGTCCGGACTGGAAGGGGGTGAAAGTGTCCGGACTGGAAGGGGGGGAAAGTTTCCGGACTGGAAGGGGGGGAAGTGTCCGGACTGGAAGGGGGGGAAAGTGTCCGGACTGGAAGGGGGGGGGAAGTGTCCAGACTGGAAGGGGGGGAAAGTGTCCGGACTGGAAGGGGGGGAAAGTGTCCGGACTGGAAGGGGGGGAAAGTGTCCGGACTGGAAGGGGGGGAAAGTGTCCGGACTGGAAGTGGTTAAAGGCTCAGGAACCATCTCTTCCAACATCAGTCCTTCTGGGAAACATCGCCAATCGTCCTGCATACAAAAGTCATGGAGAAGGTCCAGAGATTATCCGGAGTGGAGTATATGGTCACTACTGGAGTGGGTCACATTGCTGGGTCTGTACTATACTTAAGCACTCTTGCAAACGGGTGGGTGGTAAAAACAAGCAACTGAGTTGCCCACCCGATTTTTTAAAATACAGCCGGGCAGGGCAGTACACATGCCTCGGTTGCAGTGTTTCGCTTTCACGAGCGCAGCATTTTAGACTGGGTTCTGAGGCGAGGACTGGCAGCGGTCGGACACTGAAGGAGGGTGTACATTATGGGGGGCCCCCTATGCACGGTGTGGGGGGTTCTGAGGCGAGGACAGGGAGCAGTCAGACACTGAAGGAGGATGTACATTATGGGGGGGCCCCCTCTATGCATGGTATGGGGGGGTTCTGAGGTGAGGACTGGCAGCAGACGGTGAAGGAAGGTTTACATTATGGGGGGCCCCTTAAGCACGGTATGGGGGGTTCTGAGACGAGGACTGGCAGCGGTCGGACGGTGAAGGAGGATGTACATTATGGAGGGCCCCCTGTGCACGTGTGTGGGGGGTTCTGAGGCGAGGACTGGCAGCGGTTGCACACTGAAGGAGGATGTACATTATGGGGGGCCCCCTGTGCACGGCGTGGGGGGTTCTGAGGCGAGGACTGGCAGCAGTCAGATGGTGAAGGAGGATGTACATTATGGGCCCCCCTGTGCACGGTATGGGGGGGGGTTCTGAGGCGAGGACTGGCAGCGGTCAGACACTGAAGGAGGGTGTACATTATGGGGGCCCCCTGTGCACAGTATGGGGGGTTCTGAGGTGAGGACTGGCAGCGGTCGGACGGTGAAGGAGGGTGTACATTATGGGGGGCCCCCTATGCACGGTGTGTGGGGGGTTCTGAGGCGAGGACAGGGAGCAGTCAGACACTGAAGGAGGATGTACATTATGGGGGGCCCCCTCTATGCATGGTATGGGGGGGTTCTGAGGTGAGGACTGGCAGCAGACGGTGAAGGAAGGTTTACATTATGGGGGGCCCCTTAAGCACGGTATGGGGGGTTCTGAGACGAGGACTGGCAGCGGTCGGACGGTGAAGAAGGATGTACATTATGGGGGCCCCCTGTGCACGTGTGGGGGGTTCTGAGGCGAGGACTGGCAGCGGTCGGACAGTGAAGGAGGGTGTACATTATGGGGGCCCCCTGTGCACAGTATGGGGGGTTCTGAGGTGAGGACTGGCAGCGGTCGGACGGTGAAGGAGGGTGTACATTATGGGGGGCCCCTATGCACGGTATGGGGGGTTCTGAGGCGAGGACTGGCAGCGGTCGGACAGTGGAGGATGTACATTATGGGGCCCCCTGTGCACGGTGTGGGGGGTTCTGGGGGGCGAGGACTGGCAGCGGGTTGCAAACTGAAGGAGGATGTACATTATGGGGGGCCCCCTGTGCACGGTATGGGGGGTTCTGAGGCGAGGACTGGCTGCGGTCGGATGGTGGAGGATGTACATTATGGGACCCCCTGTGCACGGTATGGGGGGTTCTGAGGCGAGGACTGGCAGCGGTTGGATGGTGGAGGATGTACATTATGGGGCCCCCTGTGCACGGTGTGGGGGGTTCTGAGGCGAGGACTGGCAACGGTCGGATGGTGAAGGAGGATGTACATTATGGGGGGCCCCCTGTACACGGTATGGGGGGTTCTGAGGCGAGGGACTGGCAGCAGTCGGACGGTGAAGGAGGGTGTACATTATGGGGGGCCCCTGTGGACGGTATGGGGGGTTCTGAGGCGAGGACTGGCAGCAGACGGTGAAGGAGGATGTATATTATGGGGGCCCCCTGTGCACAGTATGGGGGGTTCTGAGGCGAGGACTGGCAGCGGTCGGACACTGAAGGATTACATTATGGGGGGCCCCCTGTGCACGGTGTGGGGGGTTCTGAGGCGAGGACTGGCAGCGGTCGGACACTGAAGGAGGGTGTACATTATGGGGGCCCCCTGTGCACGGTATGGGGGGGGTTCTGAGGCGAGGACTGGCAGCGGTCGGACACTGAAGGATTACATTATGGGGGGCCCCCTGTGCACGGTGTGGGGGATTCTGAGGCGAGGACTGGCAGCAGACGGTGAAGGAGGATGTATAATATGGGGGCCCCCTGTGCACGGGTGTGGGGGGTTCTGAGGCGAGGACTGGCAGCGGTCGGGACACTGAAGGAGGGTGTACATTATGGGGGGCCCCCTATGCACGGTGTGGGGGGTTCTGAGGCGAGGACTGGCAGCGGTCGGACGGTGAAGGAGGGTATACATTATGGGGGGCCCCCTGTGCACGGTGTGGGGGGTTCTGAGGCAAGGACTGGCAGCGGTCAGACGGTGAAGGATGTACATTATGGGGGCCCCCTGTGCACGGTGTGGGGGGTTCTGAGACGAGGACTGGCAGCGGTCAGACGGTGAAGGAAAACGTACACCTGACAGGATTCGATGAGTAAAGCGGGAAGAGGCGGGGATTGGAGTTGCAGGGTGTGTGTCTGTCGAGAGGGGCGGAGTCCGTGTGAAGGCGGGCTGTGCGCAGGCGGCGGGAGGAGGGCCGCGGGGAAGATGGCGGCGCTGTGACTGACATTCTGGGCCAGGCCCGGCTAGAGAGGGCGGGGACACCGGGCGGTGAGCGGCGGCCGGGATTCTCAGGCAAGGCCGGGGCTGCTCCTCTGGTTGCCGTCCAGGCCGCAGTAGAGTCGGGAGAGGCCGGGGGATTTGGGGCCTGCGCGGCCTGCTGTGGAGCCTCCCCCCCTTACCGGAGTGCGGAGACTGGGCCGGCCCGCGGCCTCCAAGAGAGCCCGGGGATCGGGCCTGCACACGGGGCGCCCAGGATGACGGACACCCGGCGGCGGGTGAAGGTGTACACCCTGAACGAGGACCGGCAGTGGGATGACCGGGGCACCGGACATGTCTCCTCCGGATATGTGGACCGTCTGAAGGGCATGTCTCTGCTAGTGAGGGCCGAGAGCGACGGTGAGTGACCGGAGGAGGAGGAGCAATACCGGGACCCCACCGAGGGGGCGCTACAGGGGGACTGACAACTGACAGGATCACTGGAGAGAGTAGGGATCGTTCCTAGAAAGAGAAGAGGGGGATCATTCCAAGAGAGGGATCACCCCGAGAGAGTAGGGATCATTCCAAGGTAGGGATCACCCCGAGAGAGTAGGGATCATTCCAAGGTAGGGATCACCCCGAGAGAGTAAGGATCATTCCAAGGTAGGGATCACCCCGAGAGAATAGGGATCATTCCAAGGTAGGGATCACCCCGAGAGAATAGGGATCATTCCAAGAGAGGGATCACCCCCAGAGAATAGGGATCATTCCAAGGTAGGATCATTCCAAGAGAGGGATCACCCCGAGAGAGTAGGGATCATTCCAAGAGAGGGATCACCCCGAGAGGGTAGGGATCATTCCAAGAGAGGGATCATTCCAAGAGAGGGATCATTCCAAGAGAGGGATCATTCCAAGAGAGGGATCACCCCGAGAGAGTAGGGATCATTCCAAGAGAGGGATCACCCCGAGAGAGTAGGGATCATTCCAAGAGAGAGGGATCACCCCGAGAGAGTAGGGATCATTCCAAGAGAGGGATCACCCCGAGAGGGTAGGGATCATTCCAAGAGGGATCACCCCGAGAGGGTAGGGATCATTCCAAGAGAGGGATCACCCCGAGAGGGTAGGGATCATTCCAAGAGAGGGATCACCCCGAGAGAGTAGGGATCATTCCAAGAGAGGGATCACCCCGAGAGAGTAGGGATCATTCCAAGAGAGGGATCACCCCGAGAGAGTAGGGATCACCCCGAGAGAGTAGGGATCATTCCGAGAGAGTAGGGATCATTCCAAGAGAGGGATCACCCCGAGAGAGTAGGGATCATTCCAAGAGAGGGATCACCCCGAGAGAGTAGGGATCATTCCAAGAGTGGGATCACCCCGAGAGAGTAGGGATCACCCCGAGAGAGTAGGGATCATTCCAAGAGAGGGATCACCCCGAGAGAGTAGGGATCATTCAAGAGAGGGATCACCCTGAGAGAGTAGTGATCATTCCAAGAGAGGGAAGAGGGATCACCCTGAGAGAGAGCAGAGAAGGGGAACACCCCGAGAGATAGCAGACAGGGGTTACCCTGAGAAAGTAGGGATCACTTTAAAAGAGAGGGCAAAGAAGGATCTCCCCAAGAGAGCAGGGATTGGCCCTAGAGAGAGCAGAGGGATATCACCCTGAGAAAGCAGAGAGGGTATACTCTGAAAGTAGGGATCACAGAGCAGAAATGGATCGCCCCAAAAGAGAGCAGAGAGCGATAACCCTGGGGGAGTAGGGATCACCCTGAGAGAGAGCAGAGAGATCCCCCAGCCCTGCTTCACACCAGTGCAGCTTTTCATTCAGCTTGCGAGTTCTGAGTAGCATCCCAAACCTTTCAGTGGCCCCATTCTAATCGCTCCGACTATGTTTGTGCGGCTCGCATTGACACCTATTGGTGCTGCACTGAGTGGCAGCAAGTCGCAGTGAAGTCGCACAGCATGGTCGGACCCCAAAGTCGCACTGATGTGAACCCTCCAAGGTCAGCCGGAGTTCACCCCGGGTGAGTGCAGAGAGATGAGCAATTATTACCCACTTACCCCCCCCCCCCCCCCCCCCATAGGATCTACCCCCCCCCCCCCCCCCTTTTCTGACCAGGCCATTTTTTTGCATTTTGGCGCAGCTGACAATTTTGCGGTCATGCAAATGAAATTTCTGTCCTTTTTTTTTCCCCCACAAATAGAGCTTTCTTTCGGTATTTGATCCCCTGTGCGGTTTTAATTTTTTTTGCACTATAAACAAAAAAACAGACAATTATGAGAAAAAAAAACAAAGTTTTGGACTTTTTGTTATTAAACATGTCCAGTAAAAAAAGTTTTAAAAAATCAAATTTCGTCATTTAGGCCAATATGTGTTCTGCTCCGTGTCTTTGCTAAAAAAAAAAACCCCAATATGTGTAAATTAATTGTTTTATGTGAAAGTTGTAGAGTCTACAAATGGCGGTATAGATACTGGGATTTTTTTTTTATATTTACTAGTAATGGCGGCGATCAGCGACTTATAGTGGGACTGCGATGGGCATTCAGACACGGGGGGGGGGAGGGGGGGGGGGACACTGACTTGGTGTCACTTACATCCCAATAACACCAATACAGTGATCAGTACTAATGGCACTGGGCAGGAAATGGTTAACATGTGGGGAGATCAAAGGGTTAACTGTGTGCTGTTTTACTATGAGGCTGTGTGTGCGTGCTTTCACTGTAAGCACGCTGCTTTGTATGGCTCTGCTATGCAGAGCCATACAAAGCAGTGTGCAGAAGCTGATTGGGGAGAGATCTGTGTTGTTTACATATTCAGTTCTCTCCCCCGTTGGTAATACTCAGTGATCACTGGGTGCTGGCGAGTAGTCGCCAGCCGGGACCCGGTGATTGACAGTGGAGGCCACGAATGGTGGCGCGGGTAGGACACGCGCCCCCTGCCATATATAGTGTGTGTGTATGTATGTGTGATTTTGCACACCCCTACCACCCTGTAGCAGTATTTCTGCTATAGGGCGAGGGTTCAGTACTTAACTAGTAGCCGACCGCAGATAGCCGAATGACGGCTGCACTGCGGCTGGCCAGTTCTGGGTGGACGTCATATGACGTCCTCCCAGAACGCGCTCTCCTGGGGCGCGCACCCGGCGATCTCCGTGATCGCTGTGTCCTACGGACACAGTTGATCACGTGATGTGGTAAAAGGCCAATCACAGCAACCTTTTTTACCACGTGATCAGCGGTGTCCAATGACACGCTGATCAGAGGGAAATGCAAGTGCCGGTTCTCGGCTGCACTTTCCTCACGCTGTCAGATCGTGAGGAAAGTACTGCCGAGAACCGGCAGTTGTCAGAGCGGGGATCGGCACCGATCATCAGGGCACTGATGATCAGTGCCCTGATGATCGGTGCCCAGCAGTGCCGCCCGCAAGTTCCGCCCACCTGTGCCCAGCAGTGCGCCCACCAGTGCCCGCCCACCAGTGCCGCCAGTCAGTACCCAGGGGTTGTGCCAGTCAGTGCCACGAGTCAGTGCCCAGCAGTGATGCCAGTCAGTGCCGTCTATCAGTACCCATCATCAGTGTCACCTATCAGTGCCGCATATTAGTGCCGCCTATCCGTGACACCTCATTAGTGCTGCCTATCAGTGCCCTTTAGTGCTGCCTCATCAACGCACATCAGTGAAGGAGAAAAAATACCTGTTTGAAAATTTTTATAATAGAAACAAAGAAACTTTTTTTTTTTTTTTTCAAATTTTGATCAAAAAATGATCAAAATTTCATATGGGTACAATGTTCCATGACCGCGCAATTGTCAATCAAAGTGCGGCAGCGCTGAAAGCTGAAAATTGGCCTGGTAAGGAAGGGGGTCTAAGTGCCTGGTAGGCGAGGGGTTAACAAAACAAAATAGAGTGAAAAGAAGTAACTTGTATACTTTAATACGTGTAATCGTAGTATGAAGATATTACATTTTTTAACTTTCATATTCATTTACACTCTTCAATATGACCACTGACAGGTAAAGTGAATATTCAAAATTACGTGTATAAGTGTGTGTGTATAGATATATATATGTGTGTGTGTATAGATATATATGTGTGTGTGTGTGTGTATAGATATATATATATGTGTGTGTGTGTATAAATATATATATGTGTGTGTGTGTGTGTATAGATATATATATATGTATATGTGTGTGTGTGTATAGATATATATATATGTATATGTGTGTGTGTGTGTATAGATATATATATATATATATGTGTGTGTGTGTATAGATATATATATATATATGTGTGTATATGATTTTGCGCGTTAATATTAATAATACAATGTTTCTATTCCTCCAGCTGTCGGAGAAAGTTTCCTATTATTATTATTGTTGTGTGTATCATTGCCGCAGGCAGGCAGTCCTGAGCAGCTCCACATGGAGTCTGCATGTAATGTGTATACTGTCAGGGAGTGTAACATAATAAATATACATTTAGTATAATTGTGCGCAGTGCTGGGTGTCGGGGATTGCTCCGAGGATCCATGAAACCTAAATCCTGTATACTTGTCATCACACAGCTCTGTACATCACTTCTGGTCAGAGATAGCACAGAGCAGAGCTGCTGCAGGGGGGTTGGACTTGCACCGGCGGACTTGTCAGGTTCCTCTGACCTTCTAGCGGGTTTTATCTTTCCATAAACTTCTGTAGGAATCTAAAAACCCATATGAAGTGAACCACAGTTTGTGAACACAGATACGTACTCCATGAAGTTGAACTCACAGCGATGATTGGTCTGAATAAAGAACACGTTTGATAGTTTGTTTGAGCCAGCTTGTTATATAGGCATTACAGTGTTACTAAACCCCGGACCCCGCATTCACTATATGAGCTCTCCCCGGACCCCGCATTCACTATATGAGCTCTCCCCGGACCCCGCATTCACTATATCCGCTGTCCCCGGACCCCGCATGCACTATATCCGCTGTCCCCGGACCCCACATGCACTATATCCGCTGTCCCCGGACCCCGCATGCACTATTTCCGCTGTCCCCGGACCCCGCATGCACTATATCCGCTGTCCCCGGACCCCGCATGCACTATATCCGCTGTCCCCGGACCCCCCGCATTCACTATATCCGCTCTCCCCGGACCCCGCATTCACTATATCCGCTCTCCCCGGACCCAGCATTCACTATATCCGCTCTCCCACAGTACACAGAACATGGAAATGCAATCATTTTAGTAAATATAAACTGCTAAATGCCTTTTCTCATCAGCAGTATATAGCAGTAGTCTTGTGACTTCTATCAGTGTCCAACAGAGCACTGGTTAAAGCTTGTAGGAGGAGTTTTAATTTTTCTCTGAGGATGCAGAACCCCTAACTTCTGTCTGGACAGTGCTGATTGGCCCTGTGCTGATCACATGCACTCTCCCAAAAAA